AATTTCAGATTCTAAAATAATTTCACTTTCTACACCATTTTTTTTTTTTTTTTACTACAGCAAGGAATGGATGCAGAGTTCAAAACAAATTCTGTTATATTCATATTGCTCTTAGTAATTTCTGAGCTCTGGTGGTGCACTGGTTAAGAGCTACACCTACTAACCAGAAGGTCAGCAGTTCGAATCCACCAGCTGCTCCTTGGAAACCCTATGGGGACAGTTCTACTCTGTGCTATAGGGTTACAATGAGTTGGAATCAACTTGACAGCAGTGGGTTTTTTTATTAGTAATTTCAGCATTAGCGGTATTAGTATGACGATTTGCGCTCATTTATCGAGCATTCATTATGTTTTAAAAAGGAAGTTAATTTTGGGATTGTCTTTAGGGATTCACAAGTCATTTTCATTTCATCTTCTGTGAGCTTTCGTTTTTGTGCTCCTCTTAGTTGTTGCTGTTTCATTTTACCTGGATGTAAAATTATCTCACTTTTTAAATTGGTTCTACTGTAGCAAATAAATTTGATAATTGAAAATAAATAAAATTTATAAAGCAAGTAAAATGTATAAAATTTACATTCATATTTGGACATTAACACAAAAATTTATATTTGAAAATCAGTAAGTAGAAAAAAATTTATTTGAAATGCAATTTTGTTCTTCCAGTCTGTGGTAGTCAAAAGAAATAGTACTTACAAGGCAGTCCAAAGTAGTTCATTCATTTACTATACGATACTTGCTGGCAGGCCCTTTGCAGATCTCCATAAGTGCTTTTTGTCTTGAAATAATGTTTAAAAACTTGCACACTTACTTTCCATCCTTTGATGCTGCATCTTTACCATTCATTGGATTACTGCTGATACCCAGCGGGAGCGAGAGTGATTGCAAAGAGCATTATACAAATACAAGGGTATGGTCAATCTGAAGACACGTTCTAGTTAGCTTTGCACAGGACAGGACCAGATATGTCATGAGTCACATGATTATAGTTCTGCTGGCATGTTCTTATGTGATTGATGAGAGAGAACTGAATGTGAGGTTATACCCAATCAGCCCAAAATGAAAAGGAAAATGTAATTGTTTATTGTATACAAAATTTATAAAATGTACATTTTATTTCTTCCTGAAATTGTTCAGCTCCCATATTCAGAGATACTTTAATTGATGTAACAATAGCACTACTTCTTGACAAGCAAGTTTGTGTTGTGATTCCTAACAATATCAATTAATTTCTTAAAGTCAATCTGAAGGAAAATGGAAAATAAAACACATTTATATAATTTTTATTATCTAAATATTTATTTCCTTGAGGAATTGTTCCATTTCCTTACACAGAGATTCATAAATATTCTGATAAAATATAAATGTAATGTTCTGATAAACACCCTTTGTTGCTTTCTTGGAACACGAATTTTGAAACACACTCATTGTTGCAAAACAGAAACATGTTTTGTATGATAAATACTGAATTTTACGTCCTTTTAATGTGCCTAATACCTTGTTCATTAGCATATAGAGAGTAATATCAAGCTCTGTGTCCTGTGCAGCAGAACAATAAAAAACAAAACTCACTTGATACATAAGACTTTTTGTGTCAGATAAGTATTAATATTTCCAGTATTTTTTGGACATTTGCTATGTTAGTATTAAATTATTACCCATATTAGTATTATATTAAATGTGTGCTAGATTGTATAAGCATGTATGCCAAACATATTTTAAAGTTAAAGTTATAAATGTTATTGTTTATAAAACTTAGGATATAACTCTGTACATAAAAGTTATACAGTTAAAAAGTAATTTGATTGAATTTATTGCAATTATTTGAGTTTCCTCACTTTTGTATGTCATCTGGGACTGGTATTCCCATTGATTGTTTACCAGGACATGTGCAAGAGCATACCCTTGTGTTTGTATCATGGCAAAGAGCATTGCTGGCCCTCCTGGCTGGCATTGCTCACACCCGTTATCAATATATATTGTGTAATGTATGTGTATATATGTATATATATATGTGTGTGTGTGTGTATATATATATATATATGTATAATAATCCATCCTTGCCCAGTAACTGCTCATGTTGGATCCACTTGTATATTCAAGAGTTAGACTTGACAGCCTACCCCTACCTTTTGTTTATTAGGAAGAAATAGTATACTCCCAAGAGGCTCACCTAGATAAAGAGTTTCAGTTACATAGGATGGGACCGTAGGAGACAGATGTCAGTGAAGGTATTGAAGTCGTAGGGGCCTCATAGCTTGAACAACCTTGCGCGTGGGCGCCCTTGTGACTCTGTGTGTACTTTATTTCTGGCTGGGATGTTCTCTTGCACTAGAGCTGGTATCAGTTTTATTTAGTGTCCTGAGAGTTCCCTTCCACTGTAGCATTTGCTTTTCTTTGTCCTGTCTGCTTCAGCATCTATGGGTATTGGCTTTGGACAACTGGTGCCCCTGTTTTGTTGATGCCCTAAGCAAGTTGTTATTTTTATATTTTAATTTTAAAATTTAGTGTGTTATTTATAGTTTCTAGAGAAAAGTAAAAATACATCAATCAGCTTTTCTCAGTATATAATTGAACTTTTCAACTTCAGAACAGGGGCATGACTTATGAAAGCAACTTAATGCATTTACTTTTGTGCCTTTTTCCGCAGGTTTTGTTTGCCACCATGGCCATCACACAGTTCCGGTTATTTAAAGTTTGTACCTGCCTAGCAACAGTATTCTCATTCCTAAAGAGATTAATATGCAGGTAAGCATATTTTATGTTCACACTGACCTGTTTATCTCCTGGTTTTGGATACCTTTGTAAGTACAAAAAAGCAGGACAGATTATATTATATTTAAGCTGAATATTTTGATTGCTTCATTAATTCCTACGATTCTTTAATATTTTTTCTATACAGAAATCTGGAAAGTAGAGGTTCAGTTCTTTTTGTTCTTTCAAATTCTTACATCTCCCATTAAAATGACATGCTTAATACTATAGAATTTCAGAAATAAGTAAACAAACTTTTATTATAATCATCATAGGGCATTTATGTACGTAACTGTTTTATTATCAGAAAATTTTAAGATGGTTAGGTGGAACTAGACATAGGTATTTCTTTATATACTACAATATGAATATTAGTTTTATATTTAAATAAAAAAACTTTAACAGAGAAGCCCTAAACAAAATAGATGTTTTATATCTCTTAAATAACCTTCTAGAGTGTGCAGGTAGTCCAGGACAGGGTAAGTTGTTCTGCTTCAGTAGGACACCCAAAGACTTAAATTCCTTTTATCGTGAACACTAGCATACCCTAGAGCTATTGTTCCTAAATTGTGTGCTGAGGTGCCCAATGACGCAGCAGACTCATAGAGGTGCCACAGGATATTTTAAAATTTCCATCGAAACAGTGATAGTGATAGTCCACATCTGTTGGATACTACCCAGACTACTAGCTGAAGATAGTTGACACTTGCAAGAGTTGGTTGTGCAGCATTCCTTTTGATGATGATCACGAATGTTTAAGATAACTTTTTGTTTACTTGTACTTTTGGTGACATCATATCTTTGCAAAGCTAGGTTTTTAGTGATTGCTGTAATTAAAAGCAAGCACTATGCCAAAATAAATGTGAAACAGGAAATGAGGGTGGCAGTGTCCAGTCTGATTCCAAAGTTTGAGTTGTGCAGTGCCCAGCAGGCACACACACTCCAGTAGTGATTGTGATTATTTAAGAGTGAAATAAAGATAGTACATTTTCTTTCAATTTATGTGTATTTTTTCAAATGTCTACTAAGTGTTTAGGACACAGTAACTATTAAGTTGTTTGGGCCTGACTACTTAAATCAGTGGAACTGTTGTGTATTTCTTTTGGAGTAAGGGTGCTATGAAAAAATTACTGACACAAAAGGTAGGTTAGAGTAAAAGAGAAAATGGAGGACAATCAGCTGTCTTTTTAGTAGACATGATTTAGAAGTTGCCCACAGTAGTTCTGTTTACAGCCTATTGTCCAGAGCCACCTAGCTGCAAGGGAGGCTGGGAAACATAATTTCTAGCTAGGTGGCCATTTGATGGCTGCTGAAACTTTGAGGATTGTGTGGCATTGAATTTATTGTTAGAGATGCAGTGGTCTGGGATTTTAAAAAAAGGGGAGGGGTATGACAGTGAATAAGTGGATGAAATACAATGGAGATGATCACTGGAGGTGGCAAGATCAAATAAGAAAGGAAAAGCTTAGGTGGTTGACTGTTGAAGTCACCCAAGAGGAGGACAGGATTTGGAGTATAGAATAAACAGTGAACTAAGTACAAATCTACAGAGAATGAGGAAGAATAGCCAGAAACTCACTAAATAGGATAAGAATGGTATTCTAGAAGGCAGGAGGTTAAAAAAGCATTGTGTTAACAGTGGTGATAAATTATAGATTTTTTTTTCTTTTTGAGTCTATGTTTTCTAGTATTTTTGTTAACAATGAATACAGATTACTTTTAGAATAAGAAACTGCATTTCATTGAAAAAATATTAAAGCAATTTCTGTTGTCACTATAAATTTCTGTTGTCAGTGTAAATATATTTAGGATTGATTGTACATTCAATTTTAAATGAGAGTAACTCTTTGTTACAAAGATAAGTTTCTGTTAGGTATCAGAAGGAATCTGTCATGTGTTCTAAAATACCAGCCTTATATGATAAATTTAAGAGTAGATTATATTACTTTTCTATTCATCCTTTAAACAAATAAATTTTGACTTCTAATCTTCTAATAAAATAGCTGATTTTACCAGTTAACTCTTAAGTAGATTCATTATAGATTATTTGAAATGAAACGAACGACTAGTCATTTATAATATCTACCATTTTTGTAGTATCTTGTTGTGTGCCAGCCTTACGTACTTTAAATATGTCACTTCAATCTTCACAGCAACACTACAGAAGTAGACTGAATATATACCTTTTACAATGAAGACGCTGAGACTGAGAGGTTAGGTGATTCTAACTAGACTCAAAATTAGTAGAGGTAGAATTGAAAACCATGATTTATGCAGATTCCACAGCCCATGCCCCTAACCACTGTGTTATAATACCGATGCTGTTTAACATAGTAAATTTCCTACTAATCCTTAAAATTTATCAGTCAGCGTTTAGTTCAGCCTAGTGATTTTCAAACTTTTTAATAGTGTAATATTAATCTTACACAGAAACTCAATATGTAAAACAGATAACAATCAAGCCACCCTGGTTAAAACAGCATAGGTGGCCCAGAGCCTCACATATAGAACCTACAGTAGCCCAAGGGGCTGGATTCGAAATCACTTTGCTTTTTTTTTGTTTTTTTTTTTTGGTATTGAGTTTTTCTATTCTGAGTCCTAAGGCAAAAAGCAGCTATGTTGTCCTGATGGAGATATTAAAAACATTCATAAGATCTGTGTTTCATGTCTTTTCATTATATGTTAATAGCAATTTTAGTTGTTAAAGTAAATAAAATTATGAGAGATCTTGTCTTATAAGTCTTAAATTACTGTCTGTAGTGTTTTTCCCCATGCTTGTTTTGAAAGTTCTTGAAATAAATTATTTTATTTTTGTTTCAGATCTGGCAGAGGACGGAAGTTAAGTGGTGACCAGATAACTCTGCCAACTACGGTTGATTATTCATCAGTTCCTAAGCAGGTAATTGTTTTAAAGGTTGACTGAATGTTTCAGAACACTGTTTTTCAAACTGAATTGCAATTCGTTAGTGGGTCATGAAATTAATTTAGTGGTCAAGGTCAAGATTTATTGTTTTTGTTGTTGTATCTTTCGTTTCTAAAATTTACATTTGGTTTTTCATTTTATCTTTCATTTTTTTGGTTGAGATTTTCTATTTTTCCTATTGGTTTCTAGAGTGTGTGCTGTTGCTTGTTGGAATATTTTTACAATAGCTATTTTAAAGTCTTTGCCAGATTACTCCAACACTTACGTTATGTGGGGGTTGGCATCTGTTGATTGTCTTTTTTCCATGTAAATTGAGATTTTTTTTTTTTTTGGTTCTCTGAATGCTAAATAATTTTGGATTGTAATGTGAAAATTTTGAATATTATGTTTTGAGATTCTCTATCTTATTTAAATTATATGGAGAATGTTAATTTTTGTTTTATCAGGCAGTCAACCCAGTTAGGATTACTGTATTTTTACTCATATAATGTGCGCCTTCTACGTAAGCCACTATAGTGCTTACGAAAATACCTCATGGGGGGAGGGCATGGTTGGCAAACAAACGTAGAAGGCACGCATTATTCCAGTGAAAATATGGTAGATCACAATTCCAATCCTTCTGTGGGCTGTGGTTCTAATGTTAGTTCAGTTGTTGGAACATTTGCTTTTGTTTTGTTTTTTAATGAATAAAATAGAATGGGACAGTATATCAGAATGTCTACTTCATAGCAGAAGTATTTTTTAAAGTTTTTATCTGATTTGTGTGTGTGTTATATAAAAATGTATATTTTACTATGGATCAAAAAGGTAGAAAACCTTTTTAAAAAGCCCATTTTTCTAATAAATTATTAATGAGATATTAATTAGGTTGCTGTTTTGTTGCTGACAATGTTGATCAATTAAATTTAGACAGATGTTGAAGAGTGGACTTCTTGGGATGAAGATGCACCCACAAGTGTAAAGATTGAAGGAGGGAATGGGAATGTATCAACACAACAGAATGCTTTGGAACAACTGGAACCTGACTATTTTAAGGACATGACACCAACTATAAGGAAAACTCAGAAAGTATGTTGAAGATTTGTGCTTTTGGACCTTAAGCTACTATTCAAATTCCTAGAGTTAAAATTAGACCATATAATTAGTATTTATTTGAAAGTATCAATTTGTTGTTGTTCTATCATGTTAAAGAATTATATATATATATTCAGGTGACCTAGCCATAGACATAGTAAGTTATATTCCCCAAGTTTTGTAAAATTATATCTGAGTATTTATTGAAATCCTATTTTGTGTCAGATTCTAGACTCCATTCTCTGCTATGGAAACTAAGCTGAATGAGCTGTAGAATTATAGCCTTAAAAGAGTTCACAGTTTAATGAAGTCTACAAACTGACAAGTAATTTCTGTTGTTTGTAACCATTGTAAAACTGATGCAGGACTCTGAGAACTTACTATTATGGGTTTGCGTTCGTCATCCTTACTTTATTTAATCTCTTCTGAATTGAATATGGTTGATCACGTAGAGATGCAGGAAATTACTGGAAAAAGAACAATGGCTGGATATTTTCCTTTCTTTTTGTAAAATAGTAGATGTGCTTTTTTTTTTAAATCAAAGAATACATAAGCAATTGTCCAAAGCATTTTGTAAGCTAATATTACTTAAAATATACTACTCTTCCCTTTCTGCTTTTAAAATGTATAATGTAAAACTAAATAGTTCTGTAAAGAGTACCAAAATTACCAGGCAGTTGTCACACAAATTCAATTACATACAAAGAAAAATTGTATTTCACTTTTTTTGATAAATTCTTAATCTTCTTTACTTCCTCTGCCTGTTTTCCCCAGAACCCCAACACATAGATACTTTGTGTCACTGCGTTAAATAAGACCATGTATCATATCCTGTGGAAAGTATAGCCCGCTTCCTAAGCGTGTGGGATGTCTGTGAATGCCTTAATTCTTTCAGACCGGTAGTAATAGAATACATTTGTGTGAAGTATTTTAGCTTATAAAAACATTTTCATATAAATTAATAAGGTACTGTTGTAATTAGGTTCCTATTGAGAGCAATAATGCACTTCCATAAAACTTCATTTAAAGGCTCCTTGAAAAATATAATTTAATGCTTTTCAGCATTGAGACAGTTGGATAACTCAAAAAAGACTATGATTACAGAATGTAAATATTATCTACCTTGACAACGTACAAGTAAATGCACAGCTGAAACTGGCTGGGAAGTAGAAGAGGGTGAGAACCATATTAGGAAGTGTGCAATAAATAATGTCCTCATTTTATAAAGTATATTTATAAGAAAGATTTTCTGTTTGAACAAGAAATGGACCTTTAAGTGTGTGTGTGGTTTTGTTTGTGTTTTTAAAAAGCAGAGTGACTGTCGAGGTAGAATGAAATAATATTATATTCGAAGGAGTGGCAAGAGTGGGAAGGGTAATATGAAATAAATCGTCATTTCCCTTAGTACGAAGTCAGTGGACAATGTCTGTGATTGGTAAATCAAGAAATAGCAATGTAAGTATGTTACATACAGATGTGATGTCAGGCATTAGAAGAAACTCAAACGGATAAAACTATGAGTTGCTGCTTCTGGGAAGTAGAGCTGGCTATGAAGAGATACGGGGCAGGAGTCTGTTGCTTTTCATTATAAGCCCTTCTATAGGGATGTGTAAAATAACCCTATAATTCTGTTTCAATTTTTCAGATCGTTATTAAGAAGAGAGAACCATTAAATTTTGGCATCCCAGATGATAGCACAGGTTTCTCTAGTAGATTAGCAGCTACACAAGATATGCCTTTCATTCATCAATCTGTAAGTATGTTAATGGTATTTAGGGAAGGCTTGTTTTTTTGTTTTTGTTTAAAGGAGGGGAGAATCTAAATGAATTGACCATAGTATTTGTATTTCTGTGATCTTGAAACAGGTATAGCAGTTTGAGAGAAAGGAACATGGAGCTTTAACAGTGTAGTTTTTTTTAATGAGATTATACATTATTCCAGTATTAAGATCAGAGTCTCATTGAACACATAAAAGATAGAGACAAAAATGTCATTTAAAAATCTGGACTTTAAAGAAATTACCGCTAAAATGGGAGACTTCACCTTAATAGCAGGTTATCTTTAAGTGAGTTACGGATCGTTTCTCTGCTAGAGCATATTTACATTTAAAGTGTGATTTGACTTAAAATGGGTTTGACTTAACATGCAACATTTTTAGGATCAAGGTAGTGAGTAAAATAGATAACTGTGGTTATTAATCCTGAGAGCATATCAGAATCAGCTTTGGAGCTTTTTAAAAACACAAATGTTCAGACCCCATCCCAGACTTAATAAGTGGTGGTAGTGCTTAAGCATGCTTTGAATGATTGTTTGTATTTGTTATCTATTGTTGGGTAATGACCTCAACTTAGTGCCTTAAGATGACAATAAACATTGATTATGTCATACAGATTCTGTGGATCAGGAATCCAAAGGTGACTTTACTGGGTGGTTCTAGTTCTGGTTTCTTATGAGTTTGCAGATGAGTCATTGACTGGCTTTGTAGTTATTTGAAGGCTTGACTAGGACTGGAGGACTCACTTTATAGGTGACTCACTTATAAGCTGCCAAATTAATGCTGATTGTTTGCATGAAGCCTCCGTTCCTTGCTATGGACCTCTTCATAGGGCTGCTTGAGTTTCCTCATAACATAACAGCTGGTTTCCCCAGAGCCAGTGATCCAAAAGAAAGTATGTGGACATGTTTTCAAACCACCACATCTGTCTTTTGATCTTTCTGTCTTATTTGTTTGTGTAAACTGCACAGGTGCTTCTGAGACCCCCCTACCCTTGGGACCTAAGTTTATATATGTTTTTAATTCATTGAGCAACACTTATTCGCACTGTCAGGCCCCATCCTAAGTGCTAGTAATACAGTGATGAGAAAAAACAAGCAGGGTTCCTGCCTCAGGATACATTCTACTGGGGGAGATATACTGTTAGATAAATGATCCCACACATGAACATATAGTTATAAACTTTGATAACTGCTGTGCAGGTTCACGATGTTCTAAAAATCCCAGGTGCTTTACCTGTGCATCCTGTCTCCTGCCCGAACACCCCCCCACCCCCATGCCTTGGCAACTACTGATGTTTTTACTGTCTCTGTAGTTTTGCCTTTTTCAAAATGACATAGTTGGAATCATACACTATGTAGCCTTTTCATACTGGCCTCTTTCACCTAGCAATATGTATATAAAATTCTTCGTCTTTTTATGGCTTGATAGCTCATTTCTTTTTATTGCTGAATAATATTCCATTATGTGGTGTCTTAGTCATCTAGTGCTGCTATAACAAATACCACAAGTAGATGGCTTTAACAAAGAGAAATTTATTTTCTCACAGTCTAGTAGGCTAGAAGTCCACATTTAGGGCATCAGCTCCAGGGGAAGGCTTTCTCTGTTGGCTCTGGAGGAAGGTCCTTGTCGTTAATCTTGGACTAGGAGCTTCTCTGCGCAGGAACCGCGGGTCCAAAGGACACACCCTGCTACCACTCTGCTTTCTTGGTAGTATGAAGTCGCCAACTCTCTGCTTGCTTTTTTTTTCTTTTCTCTGTTGTAAGATAAAAGGTGGTGCAGGCCACACCACAGGGGAACTGCCTTTACATTGGATCAGGGATGTGACCTTAGTAAGGGTGTTACAATCCCACCCCAATCCTCTTTAATATAAAATTACAGTCACAAAATGGAGGGCAACCACACAGTACTGGGAGTCATGGCCTAGCCAAATTGATACATTTTTGGGGGGACATAATTCAGTCCATGACATATGGGTATACCACAGTTTATCCATTCACCTGTTGAAAGATATACTGGTTGCTTCTAGTTTTTGGCAATTATGAAGAAAACTGCTATAAACATTTGTGTTCAGGTTTTTGTGTGGATATAAGTTTTCAACTCATTTGGGTAAACATCTAGGAGCATCTTTGCTTTTTATCATTGCTGGATCCTACAGTAAGCCTACACTTAGCTCTATAAGAAACTGCAAAACTGTCTTCCAAAGTGGCTGTACAGTTCTGCATTTCTGCCTGCAATATATGAGAGTTCCTGTTGCTCCACATTTTCACTAGCATTTGGTGTCAGTATTTTGGATGTTGTTGTTAGGTGCCATTGAGTCAGTTCTGACTCATAGTGACCCTGTGTACAACAGAATGAAACACTGAGCAGGTCCTGTGCCCTCCTCATAATCTTTGGTATGTTGGAGCCCATCATTGCAACCAGTGTCAGTCCATCTGTAAAAACGGCTTAGGGGAGGTGTCTGACCTCCTTCAACTCCACAAGGGGGAGGAGAACCAAGATCAGCAGCACGAGGATGACTCCCATGAGGTGGAGGCCAGATAAGCCTCCTCTCTCACCATCTTTACCAGTTATGACACCAACCGTCCCTCCCACAGCACTGTCTTCTGGGTTTGATAATTCATTGCAGTGGCCACACAGAACTCACAGACTATATACTCAAATATGGGGTTTATTAGGGAAGTTACAGCTTAGGCTCAGGAACACTCAGGATATACAGTTCTTCCATCAGGATACCGTCTCCCCAGCTGTGCTCACAGACATGCCTCTCCTTGGCCCTCAGTCTCTGCCCAAAGGCACTCAGCTTTCTCTCTCCCAGGGCCAAAAAGTGTACCACACTGTCTCCTTCTGCTGGTCTCTCCTTCTTTGGTGGTGGGCTCCTTCCCCTTGCTCTGAAATTGGCTTTCTTTTAAGGTAAAACTAAGTAGTCCCCTTGGTAGGCTGCAATTACCCTATTACACAACCACCTGGGTGGGAGTTACAAGACCACAGCTAGAAGGGCCACATGAAAAAACTAATTAATCCACCAAAGTCCACCTCCTGGCTTTTCTAGCCATGGGTCTTTCATATTTGGAGGATAACTTCCCCCTCCCATCATTTTACCAGTCCAATATAGTCATTAACAATTAGTCTTTTAATAGGGCAAAGAGTCCACAGCGTGAGGTTCCTCAGGTACCAACCATTCAGGTTTGCTGCAGGTGTCCATCTGATTTGCTCAGGTTCTCCAAAAGCCATCTCATCTTCACACTTTCTGGCCTCTGGCAAGATTGAACTGAGAGATTATTTCCTTGCTCTGAGCCTCACGAGGTATTAGCATAGCAAAACTTTTAAGGGACTTAGGTTCAGCCGCTGTACTCCAGTCCAGCAGTGCTTCCCCCTTAGCCCACTCTTATTCTTACAGCTTCTGCAATTATAGTTTTTAGAATCATAATTAACTCTGTTACAGTTTTTACAGT